CAGGGCCCGTGTCCTCGTCCGTCATGTCGGAGAGATCCTCCCGCACCGGGAACTCGTCCTGGAGGAGCAGGCAGGCGGGGCCACCGTGCCGTTAGGCTCTGCCTTCTCCTGGGCAGGTGACAAGGCTCCTCGAGGGCCCCACACCTGACCCAGGGGAAGGGGACAGCAGTGCCTGAGGGTGGCAGCCAGGATGCTGCAGCCCCTCCCCTCTGTGCCCGTGACGGGCAGCCAGGCCTGGGCTCTGGCATCACGGTGATGCTGCCCAGCATTCGGGAGCTGTGCCCTCCCTGCCGTTCCGCCCCCAGGTGCCCTCGGCCCTCACCGCTCTCCGTAGTGTGTCCGAGTCGCTCTCAAAGTCGGGGTCATCCATGACAAAGGACAACATCTGCGCAGCGATGGGCCCCTCAGGGTCACTCTCTGACGAGGCTGCCAGTTCGTCCTTCCCGTTGGGCGCCCTCGAGGGCTCTGCGCGCTTGTGCGGCCTCGGGGCCTTTGTGGGGGGCCTTTGGGACAAGGAAGTGGTCAGGGGCCTGTCTGTCCTTTCTCCTGGGGCCGCTCCCCTGGAGATCCCCACATACTGTGTGGTCTCTGGCTCGGAGCACTTCTGGGGGGCCAGGGCAGCGGCCTTGGGGGGTCCTGCTGCCTCTTCATTGGAAAGAGTGTTCTCCCTGGAGACGGGCAGCAGGGGCCTGCTGGGCGGCTTGTCTTCCAGGTCCACATCGTCCTGGAAACCCGCCACCATTGGGTTCCCTCCGGGGGCCTCCCCGTCACTGCGAAGGAGGGGCAGGGAGGTCAGAGGTCATGAGAGGGTCCTGGGGAGCCTCTGGCAGCCACAGGGCTGGTCACTGATGGCGGGGCTCAATGGTGAGGGGACCCTACTTCTGGGCAGGCTCGGGCTGCTCTGCAGGGGCCCATGCGTGGCAGCAGCAGCAGAGGCTGCAGCAGGGAGGGAGGTGGGCCCAAGGGGAGGGACAGGGAGCTGCCCCAGTGGCGGAAGCCACAGGAGGGGCTGTTTCCTGCAGGGTGGGGCTCGCAGGGCGTGTTTGTCCTTGTGCATTTCTCAGGGACGTGGTGAGGCTGGGGATGCTTGGAGTGGGCCCAGGAGGGAGGCCATGCGGGTGGGGCTGCGGGCAAGGTCGGCTGCTGCCTGAACGGGTGCTGTCTAGGGCCCAGGTCTGTGGCTCACAGAAGGCCTGGCACCACCCTTACCTGTCGCTGTCCTGAGGGGCCTCGGCCGCAACTGTCCTCTCATCCTTCGGGGGGGCCACGTCATCCAGGAAGCTGTGGTCAAGGCCGTCCCCAGGAACAAATTCCTCGACGTCCTGGACTTTCGCTGGGGCCTCTGCAGCCGGAGTCGGATCTGTGCCCGCAGGGCCAGGACACAAGCCGGGGTTGGCCTGTGACTGGGCCATCACACTGCCCACCCAGGAGGAAGGGGACCCGGTCCCAGTCTGGGGGAGCTCACAGGGCCAGGGTGATGGTGCCATCAACGCCTGGGCTGCCCACACCTTCCGAGGGGCCCCCTGGGGCCTACCTGGGGGGGGAGGGGCCACCTCGGCAGCTGGCGAGGTCCCAAACAGCCGGGAGATGATGCTGCGTCTCGGGGCTGGAGCGGGGGCCACGGGGGG